GTCGGTGTTTTTCCATGATTTTTACTTTAGACAAAATCTGATGGCAGTTTAATAATAATATCCAAGGGCCCAAGGGTGCCATAACCCCAACTATATTGTACCAAACTTTTCTGTCCGATAACAAATAGGAAGTTAATTATTAGTTTGTGCACTCCTGTTTTCAGAGGCACACCTCTTGCATGCTGCAGAGACTTTCCATGTTGGTCCAAACAATGGGTAGGATGGTTTGCTCTTGTACCCCAGACATTTTTGTTGGAAGCTCTGGCCCAAGCTCCTCCAAGGAAAATGACCACTTGCTAGCCAGGCCTGTAGTTGGCGGTGTAACTTGTAAAGCTAAGCCCGGAAAAAATATTTCTCTCCTTCTTTGTTTGGAACAGCAAATTTTTTTCCAATTAGGCCTCACTGAAAGGCCCAATAAAAAATGCAGCTTATTATGTTCAACGGAGTGTATTGATTTTCAAATAGACAGGTATGATGATTAAAGAGATTTTTTTCTCATTTGATTTTACGAGTTAAAATCTTAGGACCAACATCAAGGAGTTTTATTCCACTATTTGACTCATTTAAAAGCGAACCCCACAATAATCAAATTGCCATTGAATCCAAGGGCCGGTGGTCTTGTGTTATGGGCTGAGCCGAATCAAAATGGTTGGAGCTTTCCATCTCGAGATAGCTTTGGTGGCCAGCAGTTCACCCACGCTTTTGGGGCCTGTTAAAAATTGATTGAGGCCCAATGAATTTTTCTTCTTGTTTTGTTGCGTAGTTTTATTTGGAATCTCAGCGACTTATTAGAGGTGCCTTGCAATCTTAAATGAAATGGAGACGGGTTAACGCCAAGGTTCGAATTCCCAGTTTTTTTTTTTTTTTAACTCACACCTCCGATACACATATTCAAAACTTCTAATAAAATTAATCTATTAAGTTCTGAATTTATAACCTTTTATAAGATATTATTATAATTGAACGATAAGCTATTTAATGTTTGAATTTTAAGTATCGATTCCCGTAGATTAAAAATAAATATTTCCCATGTGCTATACCTTACTCGTATCAACTGGCAATGAATTTCAGAACATGGTGATTTAATTCTTGCCATCGCAGCCCGAGAAGGAAAACATAACATAATAGTGCCATCAATAGGCTGTTGTTTGACCTTATACACTGCTAGTATCAAATCTTGCAAACGTAAAGCAGGCTCCACCTTAAATATCATGGTTCAAACGTCCAGAACAAGGTCAGAGAGCACAATAATTTTTAAGTAATCAACCGCCTTGCTAAGTTCATTTAACTTGCAAGAGATGGTAGTGCTAGTACTATTATTTATATTCTGCATGATTGAAAAAGCACTAGAGGTTGAGCTTTAGTCCTTTTACATCTCTTTCATTTGATAAGGAATCAAGTTTTTGATATACCACATGATCAAGATCACGACGTGTTTTCCTGTTCCACTTAAAAATCATTCGGACAAAATTTCATTATAAATGGGACAACTGTGATAAGTCATCAAGGACATCACAATTGAATAGTGACCGTACGATTAATATGTACAAATGATTCGAACAAAAAAATACCTCTTCTCCTATTTATTAGAAAAAAAAACATGGATTTAATTAATACCTCGTTTTTTAAAAACATCATTGTACATGTGTCACTAAACAAATCTTAAACTTTCAAGTGAAATGTCTAGAGTTCTTGAACACCAAAAAAAAAAAAAAGTTAATCTATTTTCTACTCGATATAAGCTTATCATACGTCACTTATATGAATAACATATGAAATATTACAGTTCTTACCTTCTATGACCCAAACATATATATATATATATATATATATATATATATATATATATACTTAATTTAGCTATCAAATAATCCTCCAAACACCACAAAAGCTCTTGCTTTGCAGATATTCACTATTAATTTAAGATGGGACAAGTTATATCAATCGGATTAAATTAAAAATAATTTAACTATCAATTTTAATTCAAAGGCTACAATCTCTTCAGTTTCCACTTTGTTCTGAAAGCTACACACACCTTAGTTAGTTTGTTGTCTCGTTGAAGTAGTTGTGGATTTAATTTGCTGGTTGGGGGAACAATTTTAGGAGTGCTATGAGTGTTGTTTTGTAGCCGAATTCCTAAACACAATAACGGACGAGTAGGTGATTCAACAAATCACATATTGTTTGTCTTCTTATGATCCTACCTGATAGCTTTTAGACGAGCTCGAAACAGAACTAGTCTCGGATTTGGTCAAAAATTAAATTATTTTTTGGCTCTTCATCATTATTGTTTTCAGATATAGTTGCTAGCTAGCAAGAGATTCCCTATACCATTATTTGCTAGTGTTCTTGCACCTACTGAACAAACCAGAATTTGCTCATTTGGTTGAATCATCATTAGTTGATGGACAGACCTGCTTGAGATATAGTTCCTGCAACGCCATTTGCAACCTGTAGTGCTGAAAGAATTCCCTTTTATTCAATAATTAAATTGTTAGACTCACTTCTCTGTCAAAACAAAAGGTTGGCCTAACCTCAGATGGGTTTGTTAGGCGCCCTTTGGACTTTGTTGAAGTTGTAATCTAATATACTTTGGTACATCAACTTTGACCTTCCAATAAATCATCCTTCACTAAATTAGTCGAGATGATGCTTTTGATTTATTATCGACAAGTGTATCAATCGCTCAAGTGATATGGTAGTTAAAGTAAAGCATTGTTCAATAAAGATTATAATTAAACAAGCACCACAACAATCAGTAATCTCAAATTATATTCGGATGATCAAATTCAAGAAAGATGGATGCAATAAAAAAAAAAATCATAAATAGCAAACTAAAGAAAAAGAAAATAAAATAATGAGAGTGAGATTTAAATCAAGAGAAAAAAAAAGCTAAGACTTTTAGTTCACCAACTCAATTAATATAGAATTTAAATTAAGATGTTTTCAAAACTAGGTTCTATTCATGTAACAGCAGAAATTTCTTTTACTGATTATATTCTTTTTTAGGTTATATCAAAAATATTTTCACATATCCACCTACGTACTATATCGTTATGTAGATTTTAATAGACGTAAGCCTAAGAAATTTTATGAAATATTCTAAGTTAAGTATAAACTTTTAATTCTACCTATCACTACTGCATAATCAAATTTGTATATTTTGTATTACACTCAAATTCATATAGGTGATGAAGAGTATGACTTGTATTTCGAGTTGTTGTAGGAGAAAAAGTATCGTTTAAATACTCTCTTGTTATTTGAGGAGTTTTCTTGTATTTGTAGTACTTGTGTGTTGGTATTATTTAGATATTATTGGTATTATCTTTCTCTCTTTTTTCTAAGACTCTTCTCTTTTATATAGGTAGTTATGGAAGTTTTTTGTAGGATGGAAGAGATAAAAATATTTTTTTCTCTTTTAAAGTTAATAAAGAAGCCGATAATTATTGGTGTTTTTTCATTATTGTATTTAATTATACGAAAGTGTTAATGCAATTGTAATAAGTGATGATGGGTTGATGCCATCATTAGGAATCTTTATTTAATGTTTTGTTTCCAAGTGAGATTAGAGGATAGTAATATTTTTTTTCTTTCAGACCCGAGCTCCTATTTTAGGAAGATTTCAAAGTCTTCCTCCAAGGGGATGCCTCCCAGTATCCTTTAGGTGCTCTGGGCCTGTTTAAAAAGCCCGTTGTTTTAGACGAGTTGCGAATTTTGATCGAGTCTAACGTGTTTTGGAGCTAGGAGTCTTTGTATCCTTTTTGTTGTGCCGTGTTGGGAAAGGCTCCCCATCACTTGGATATCGGATGAAAGGGTTCCGATTATGATTGGGTTTCGTAATTTACCAATTAAAAAATAAGCGGGCCTGGTTGCATGCCAGCATACTTATTATATGTAAAGAGCATTTTATTTTATTTTTTCCTCTGAAAAAGTGAAGGCAAGAAAAGAACTAATTTTATGTTTTCATGTTGGTTCTTTTCTTCCACTGGTTGGTAAGACGAAGACAAAGATTGAGTAACCAAATGAAGTGCCTTTACGGCTCAACTACTTCCACACGGGTTTCCACCAATCCTCTTAAAATTAATAATGGCTAATCATAGGGAAAACCTGCTAGTGCTAATCATTAATGTTTTTAAAGTATGGTTGCGTGGGCATCCAATTCCATGGACCCTTCGCGCCTTTAATAAAATATATGTTTATAAAAATAAACTTGTCTTTCTAAGTTCAATTTTATTAAGAGAGAGCAATCATCAACCTATTCATATATAGAAAATGAACCATGATATTCATGCTTCTCGATTTGGTTGGGAAACATTGGAAGTATCTGAAATTTTTAATGCTAATTTTCTTGTCTAATTGTCTTTCTAACACACACACACATATACTGGGCTAGGACACCCATATCTTTAATTATAAAGAATTTTATGAATAAATACATGCTACTATCAGATGTCCCACTGATATGAAGTACTTTACCATTTCATTTTCTTTCTGTTGGTTCTTCTTTTCACTACTATTTCAGTTGATCAGTCCAAATTATTAGTATAAGAAAAGATAGCAAGAAAATAATAGTCGCAATTCACAATTCACAGTTCACAGTTTCAAACCCTTAATATTGCCTCTCGCAATTCACATAAACGTCAAATCATCATCAATGTAGGAAGCCGAATTATTTAGCCAAAGCTAAAAAATGAGTTGTTTCTGACAAAAAGGTTGTTAGCTGTGGTACTACAAATTCGAAAGAAACAGCTGGTTTTGCTCCCTCAGACCACAGAGTCGCTTTCACATACCAGCTAGCTAGCTGCACACGGACGGCCACATCGGACCCGTATCTTCCCTTGCCACTCCGACATGATTAAGACCTCTGGATTACATTTTAATTAATGCATATAATGTTCTTCAACAACATGCTTCTGCTTCCCGTTTGGCTGCTATTATCTTGAAAATGGTATTTTGGGCCTCAACTATTTGTCCAAGAGAGACCCTGAAAACCATGAGAAATGGGTCTAGTGGAGACAATCAGTATTCACCTCCTTATTTCGTTTACTATTTTCCCTGTAATAGAATTATTTTGGCAACATGCACCTCGTATTTTATTTGTCTCTGAGCGACTTTTTTTTTTTTTTTTTAAATTAAGTGGGTTTAGAGCACTCTATAAAGTTAGTGCTTCAGGAAAGGAGATGGCCGTGATCTATGCTTACGTACCACAAAGGAGCAAAAATTTCTTAGAAGAATTTTGGCAGCATCCACTATCGAGTTTCATACACCAATATTTTAATTAAGGCGCCAATTACTTAATGCGTATGGGGTTAGATATTTAAGCTATCAATAATGCTCTTCCCTCGTATTTTGGTAGGCCGAAATACCAGATTTCTGTGCCGAATTATTTCATGAAGTTGACAAGGAAAAGAAGGAAACTTGTTCAGATCGTTACAAAAGCATTTTGTTTGCGTTGAATATGAAGTTATATTATTTAGTATATTACGGCTCCCAATAATGAAACAGTTTGTTTGACTCTCTTGTGGTATTCTTGGAATATTTTTAACGTTCGAAAAGATCAAGTTGTAGTTATCTTCGTCCAGTCAAAAACAAACATCCATAATAAGCGTAATTAAAGATTTTATGAGAATTTTATTTTCTATATGAGATTTCAACCTCAATAATTCAAATAAGAGATACTCATTTGAATAGGAAGGTGAATTTCCTCGAATTAGCTCCAAAGCATTATAGCAGGCAATTGATTCTGAAATGTGACGCTGGCCTGACTTTCAATCCAACATGAGGAAGCACCTCCTCGTTGGTAAATTAATGTTAACCTTACATTAAAAATAAAATGAAAAATCTCAATTCCTTTATATGTAGATATTTTAAAATGTTTCAAAAATAATTATTATACAAAGAGATTTTAAAATACTTCAAAAATAATTATTATATATTTACAATAATTACTTCATTTATAAGTCAATTCCGGGTACGTTTTCGTGTTTGCTACGTTAGCATGCTTGCCTTATTTCATTCTATTCTTTAAACGTACGGGTTTGGAGATGGAGATACATTCTCTATTCTCGTCCATAATAATCATCGAGGACGACAAAGGAATTCATTCTACTGTCATTAATGGAATTGGGGTAGTTAATTGAATTAGACAAAATAAACTTAACATATAACACCTTACTAGTTACAAGATTCCAAGTAAACAAATGGGTAAAACTTCTTAAATCTTTTAAACTATGAGTATTATTTAAAGGATTTGTCCAATATATACCTTTAAAATACCTGTTAACCATTTAACAAATTCCATTTGTATGTTTTGGTTGAATAATTAATAGTATCGTAATTAATATAGGACTTCTAAATTTCGAAATTTTTTTAAAAAATTATATTTAATAGAAAAAATGATATTCTATCTATTTTAAAAGAAATTGTTGTATTTGACTTTTTACATTAAAAAAATTATTAATTATTATATTATATCAATAAATTTTTGATATTTTTATAATTTTAAAAAAAATTGTATTTATACTTTTTTTACAAAATAAACTTAGGAGTATTTTTTTAAAATATATCATTTAAAATTTCGGGAGTCAAATATTTTGGAATTAATATAAATGGAGTAAAAGTTTGAAATTAGTGTGCATTGAATGAAAACACGTGGGAGGAAGACTAAGCGGAGTAGAGGGGAGCACTGTCATAAATTGATTTGCCGCGAAATGTCGAAAACATGGGAAACTGTAACACACAGAGTTTAAAGTTTAAAGTTAAACGAAAAATAACACAAATTTTTTTTATTTTATTTTAAAGAAAAAAATAGAAGGACACATAGATAGAGACGGACAGATATAGACAGAGAGGGGGAGATTTAAAAGGAGAGGGTAAGCAGTCAATCCAAGAAACAAGAAATTCATCAAAATAGGATCCGAAGAAAACGCAAATCTATCTACATTTTGCTGAACAAATGTTACTATATTATATAATTGTTATTACACTACAGCCCTCTTGGTGATTCTGGTGTCACGTAAGGATTCAGATACGGAGAGATTGATTCTGCCAGGAAAATCCGAGTTTGCTAACTCGGGTTTTCTTTCGTGCATGCCGGAAAATATTAGTCCTCTCCTCTCAGGTATTACTTTTACTTTCCTTAATTACCATGCAAATTCTTCTTGTTTCCCTTGTCCCTGTTTTTCTGCTCTTGATTATGTGTCTTCCATGTTTTTCTTTTTCTTTATATTTTACATGGTCTTGCTTGGTAAAATGTAATAGAATTGACAGCCCCACATTATTTCATCTTCTTGAATAAATGCATGTCCCTGATGGAGTTAATTTATATTATATTCATTCTGTTTATGCTTAATTTCCTTCTGCAAAGTTCCTCTTTTTGTCTTGTCGGAGACAAATTGCTCTTCATTCATAAAATTATATATATATATATCATGTTCTTGGCTAAAATAAGGTTTCAGCGTTTTTTTGTTTTTGTTTTTTTTTTTTTTTAGGGGTGTTAAAGTTTTGTCCTTAAAGAGTCAAGATTGACTCGGGTATTCAAATTAGTACTGTTGTTGTTGTTGTTATTTTTTTTTCCTCATTTCCCTTTATATATTCCTTTATTCAAGTTTGATTGCTATATTGTTTTTGATACCTAAATGACTTAGCATTTAGTGTTTTTTAATGTCAACGTTGTACATTTCCTACTGCTTGTTTTTTGTACTCTCTGATAAGGACTTGTTTTCAGAACCAAAAAAAAAAAAAAAAAAAAGGACTTGCTTCTTGTTGGTTTTGTTTAGTAGATACTTAGTTATCAAAATTATCTGGATTTGTTTGTCTGCTACTATCTTCTTTAATGCGGACTGGTAACAATCACTTCTCTTATTTTGTATTTAGCATATTTCGATATTCGTTTGTTCTCTCTTTATTACACAAAGTTTGAGTCTAGAGGATCTCTTCAGAGAAAGTACTAGAAATTTTACTACAAAACCAGCATTTTTTCTTTTGTTTTTCCCCCCCACGAATTTGTTTGTTGGATAGTGATCATGCTGTTTTGATCAGAATTGGGAGGATTCAAATTGATGTGTTGTGACTTGTGAGTGCTCTTCAAGTAATTATGGATATTCATTCCCTCTTTTTCTTCAGGTGTTTTTCAGTGGTAGGGTTAGACGGTGTAAATTTGGTGATGCTCCAACATGTAATAATCTCATCGCAGGATTAAAGTTTCTTTCTTAACAGGAAGGCAGCTTTTTTCCTGGACGCTACTCTGGGGAGCAAGTAGCCGTCTCTCTGAAAAGCATTTTGAAGTCAAAGGTGTGTACTTGATGTGGAAGCCAGAAATTATTTTTGTTGTTTTGAGGAAATGAAAGTTGATAAACTTGATAAAACAGCTTTCTAACTCTAGCTCTACACACCTTTTTAAGTAATGGTCTCAGACTGCTCCTTCCCTAATTTTTTTTTAATTTTTTATGGAGCATATATGATATGGAAAATTTATTCAGTCTTCAGTTCTATATTGAAAGGTCTATGAGATTATGGAACTTGACTTTAAATTTCAATGCAGAACTGAAGATTTTCCTGAATTTACTTTCTTTCTTGCTATGGATTTATTGGCTTATAGAGTAAAGCTAATTTAGAGATAATTTGCTTATTTTCGTTGGGGTAAAGATGGTCTTGATGCAAATGTTGTCTTTCTGCTGAAGTTCTCGTTACCAATGAAAGGTTCTGCTTTTCTAATTTTTTGATATCTCATTTTTTGTTCGACTGGAATTTTGCAGGTTCTTATTTGCAACTAGCTTGCCTGCTTGCTGCCTTTGTCTTCTCATATGAGCAAACATCTTCTAGCAGGGGTATACTGAAAGCTGTCGGTCATAATGGGTGGCTGTGTCTCAACAACCAATGAAAGAGTGAAAGCATCTAGGAAACACATGCACAAGTCTTCCAAGAGTCGCGGAAGGATTTCCACTTGTATTGCTGATGCCCCTATTAAACGGCTTAGTGATGCTGGAATTAGTGATTTTGCTCTTCGAGAGTTTGTTCATCTTGACTTTGAGAAGGGTGCTGCAACCACCTGCAAGAGATCTGAAGTTTCTAATGAGACATTCCATCTCACCCAACTACAATGGAACCATAGTCAAATTGATTCAAATGGTATGTCCTTTCCCTCTATTGATTTATCGGCCTGGGGCTGACACACTTCTTGAACAGTTTTATAACAAGAAAAGTTTATTTGCAGGAATATGCCAAGAGGAAGTATGGTTTGACTCTCTTAGTATCATAGATTCAGATGATGATGATGACTTCATCAGTGTGCATGGAGGTGATACGCATAAAATTCATCAAAGCTAAGAGAAAGTTATTGAAATTGTGACTTTTTGATTGGTAGTCAGCGCTAATATTGTTCTTTGGTTGTTCAGATTGTTTTCCTCATGTTGGTAATGCAACTGGACATAAACCAAACACTCAAATGCTTCAATATGGAACTGCATCATGTTTTGTAGATACTGGGTGCAAGTATGAGGGCTTCTACGAAAATTACCTGAAAATGGATGGAGTTCCAAAGGGCGATGAGGTTTCTAGTATGATGAAGAAAGCTTTAGATGATCCTTGCGGAAATGTTATAGGTCTCGAAGAGGGCACACATGACTTGGCAGAGAAAACTCAAGATAGTAGAAGGAAGTCGACAGTAATTATGCTCTCATTAAAGAGAAAATCTTGCGACGGAGAGGAAACAACAGAATTCTGTAAGTACATATTGGAGTCTCTGTAAGATCTCATAAGAGTTACATTTATATTCTACAAGTATTAGGATTGCCTATAAAACATGGCATTGCCTTGGTGCCAATTCCCACTGCCGCACATGATATGCAAAATCCCTAGCAACTTCATGTAATCGTGATATATTCGAGGAACACACGTTATGCTATTGAATGAGTTTATTCCAGCTCTGTAAGTTGCAAATTGAACTTTGCACAGAATAGATGAAATGTAAATTTCAGGTTTTTTTTTTTTTTGGTTAATGATTCAGATACATTTTTGCTTATTAATTATGAATGAGTGCATGAACTGGTGCAGCCGAGAGATTACTGTATCATCCGAGAGCAGGATTTCTGATTCCAAGTTCAAAAGGAGAGAAGTCAACTGCTGGATTCTGGTCTGAGATTTCTCCTTCAGTTTTTAAGCTCCGTGGCGAGAGCTTTTTCAGGCATTATATTTAGTTGCTTCTGATATTTAGTTATTTTTGCATAGCTACGACTATTAGTCCATGATATAATTTTTCTTTTCACACATACATTCGTGGGAATTGAACTGTCTGAACATCAATATCTAATCTAATCATGCAGAGATAAGCAGAAGTGCCCTGCTCCAGACTACAGCCCATATGTTCCAATTGGCGTAGATTTATTTGTATGCCCACGAAAGATAAATCATATTGCTCAGCACCTCGAACTTCCTATTGTGCAAGCGCATGAGAAACTACCGTCGCTGCTGATCGTTAATATGCAGGTTCTCTCTCTCTCTCACACACACACACGCACAAACAATATTTTGATTGCTCAGAGTTGTTTTTGATATTGAATGAGGTTTTGAATTTTATCTAATTAACTGTTCAACATTTCCATTTATTTCCATATATGAGTTATGACAAGACCCGTGCTTGTTGTTTACAAGAGTTGAAATGAATCTGATTGTTTTATTTTGGTCGATGAATTGATGGTGAGTTCCCTGGGAATTGCTTTATAAGAACTTGCGCTGAGAGCAACATGACTGTGATCTCAATTTGCTTAAGTGGATTCTTGGGGTTCCAAGTGATTGGACTGTTATAGTATTTCCTTCATATGAATTACTAGGTTCACATCAAAGTGATGGAATATAATGTTCTCACAATGGGTTTTTGTGCTGCAGCTTCCCACTTATCCTGTTTCGATGTTCAACTGTGATACTGATGGAGAAGGCATGAGTCTTGTAGTATACTTTAAACTATCTGAGAATTTCAACAGACAGATTTCACCTTGTTTTCAAGAAAGCATCAGGGTATTCTCAGAACTAATATTCCATACAATTTCATATGCTGATCTATGCTTGACACCATTTAGTCTTCTTTGTTCCATTGCCTTTTTATACCCCTGCCAAATGCTTGGATACAATCTTTTCTCACCTTGTAAGATATTTTAGTTGATAAATCATATTGCATCCTCCCTCAGAGACTTGTTGAGGATGACATGGAAAAGGTTAAAGGCTTTGCCAAAGAGTCCAAAGTTCCTTTTAGAGAAAGGCTAAAAATTCTGGTGGGGCTAGTTAATCCAGAGGAATTGCCGTTGAGTTCTGCAGAAAGGAAGCTTATTCAAGGTTATAATGAAAAGCCAGTGCTTTCACGCCCGCAACATGAATTCTTTAAGGTAAGGAAAAGTTACCTTTTTGTCTGCGAATCAAATTTGTTCTACCAATGTTTAGAACTAATTTCATTTGACGCAAACTTCTTCACTTTATGGTTTTCTTTTCTTTCCTTTGTTTTTTTTTCCCTTATGGTTTCACCATCTTATGGGAAAACAAATGAAAAATATGGAGAAGGAGCCCAATTTGCTTTGGTGTTTAGCATTTTAGGACGCTAACAGTGCCTAAGTTTCTATCCTGCAGGGACCTAATTACTTTGAAATTGATCTGGATATACATCGGTTCAGCTACATATCTAGGAAAGGACTTGAAGCATTCCGAGATCGCTTGAAGCATGGGATAGCTAATGTGGGCCTGGCTATTCAGGTATAAAGATTTCCACTTATCCTATTTTGTAAGCAAACTGGTTTCACAAGAAATTTGTTTTTTTCTTTGGTGACAAATAAATTATGTCTTTTCACTAAAACAAATTAAAAATGGTATTATCATAATTTTTTATCTCCAAAGTATTACAATTTAGTAATTTTAAACTCAAAATATCAAATTACTTAATTTGAATCTAAAATATTAAAGAATAAACAAATATGATCCAAATTATTCATTTCTCGTTATTTCTAGTTGGTCGTTAGTTTTTTTTTTAATTGAAGCCGAGAGTAGTATTTTTTTCACTCCTGAATTGTTTCGACTTTGCAAAGTTATTCCTAGCTTTACCATTCCTATCCTCAAAATTCAATAAAAGCCCCTTCTCATTCGATGATGAATCTAAAGGAAAGTACTTCTCTGCATGCTGTTTTGGGATCACCAGGCGATTTAGCTTTCCTACATCACTTGGAGTTACAACCTTATCAAACATGTGCTCCTTTTCTATCACCTGTACACTGCTAGATTGTTACCAGCCAATTCCAGAACAGAGAAGAACTTAAGAAGAATAAAATGAATCTGAGCTTTATTGATGAATGCAAGAATTGAAATACATTTGATAAAACGTAAGAATTATTTGACAGAGGGAAGATTAGAAAGAAAACAGAGAAGAGAAGAGTTAGCCAAATGATCCAAGATAGAAAATGCCTCTCTCTGCAATCTTCCTTTATACCAGTTAGTCTGGTACTTCCCTAACAGTCTCTAACTAATTCACAACTGCTCTACTGCTAAAACTAATTCCTAACACACGTGCCATGAGTGTTAGTTATTCCCCCTTTGACAGCCTGTCCTGCCAGCCTGTTTCTTTGCCACTCTGTCACACATCCAATCCACCTCAGCTAAGCCACGTGGACCTGCATTCCTTCAGGTCTCTTCCACATACCCTACTGGTCTTGCACTGACCCTTGCCTTGTAACAATACCCCCTGGTTGAGAAACCTTGTCCTCAAGGTTAAAGTCAGGATACTTGGCTTGTAAATCAAAGGCAAATTCCCATGTTGCATCTGCAGGTGAGCTGTGAGACCAATGAATTAGTAGCTTGGTCGCAGCCACATTGCCTCGTTAACCACCTTCCTATCCAAAATAGCCAGAGGATAAGGATTAAGACTGACCGAAGAAGGCAAGGGTATATGAGTAGTAACATCCCCATGCACAGGTTTCAATTGAGAAACATGGGAAGTAGGATGAATTTGAGCAGAATCTGGGAGAGCCAAAGTGTAAGCAACAGCTCCTACTTTGTCAATGATTCACCTCGGCCGCCTTCTTCTTCATCATTGACATCCATAAGGTCAAGTTTCGCGGGTGTGACAGCTCCACTCTCATTAAATCTTGATGTATCTTCATCTTCTTGGTCACACTTGTTGCGTGACCAAGAACCCATTTGGTGGTTTTCATAGATTTGGCCTAAAGGGACTGCAAGTTGGGTTTTTGGCTGTGAAGAAGAAGATGAAGGAGATGAATATGAAGATGAGTATGAAAAAAAGGGAGTCCTTTTCCTTTGCTCATTTGATCTTCTTCACTAAAACCTGCCCCAAAATCCATGTCTTTGCTCTCGGCTTCAATTAAAAGAAAAAAAAATGTTACTGTTAGAAACAATAGAGATTGAAAATTCGGATTATAATTGCCCAATTTTTAATATTTTAAAGTTTAAATCAGGCAATTTGATATTTTAAGAAAAAAAAAAAGCCGTAATACCGATTAAAAATAAGAAAGGAGTAGTTTTGCCACTTAAGACAAATGTAGGAGTGTCATCTGTTGGTCATATGCCAGACTCTCTTCTGTGTTTTTGTAAGATTTTTTTTTTTTTTTTTGTTAATTCTCTTGTGAACTTCCTTTGTTTTCTCCTGTTTTCTAAAGTTTTTTTTTTTTTTTTTTTTTAATCTCGTCAGGCACAAAAGCAAGAGGAGCTGCCAGAGCAAGTGTTGTGCTGTGTTCGCTTGAATAAGATTGATTTTGTAAATCATGGCCAAATACCTACCATTGTTGCACGGGAGGACTAATTTTAAGAAGCACCAAGGGATGATTCCGGCAAAAGAAACAATCTAGAAGCATATTTTGTAGATTCGTTTGATCTGTATCAACCGCAAGAAAATGAAAATTCAGTTTTTTGTATCCCTTTACCACCATTCCTTGTGTCTATCTCGATATAGCCATTCTTTTTGTTCGCCATTGTGATAAAGTTGAGGATAACCAGGATTTAATTAAAGATCATGAACGAGATAATGTCTTGGTGAAAGATGCCTAATAGATATTTCTGGTTCTATGAGCAGATAACCCATCTCCTTGATCACTACCAATAGGAGAAGCTATATTTTTGAAAAATATGATTAATTGAAAAAAGTTGCAACAGTTCGAGCAAATTTTCTTCCTAGGTAAGATGACTATTAGGTGTCTGCAAAGGCTAATTTGAAGATTTAAACATGGGTGCTTTGAATTTTATGGTATGAGGGAGTAAAATATAAATTAGTCCCGCTAGTTTTTCGAAAGGAATCAAATAGTTTTTTCTAGTTCTAATAACCAATTAGTTAATCTCTACATTTTAAAATCTATTAGTATTTTTTTCATTCCCTTTCAATTTATTTTGCTTTGTTTTAATAAAAAAAAAATTAGGTAAAAAATATGAAAAGATTGATGAGAAAAACAACATTTTTTGAAATAAAATAATATTAAATTAATTATGATTAATACTGATGATGAAACTCATTAATTAGTTTTTGAAAGAATAGAGAATTCCTCTCGCAAAACTAGAAGAGTTAATTTATAATATACCCATCAAATTTGCTAATAATTTGATTTGTCTTTGATAATGCATTAACTTTTCCTTAATCAAATCTCCTTGTCTTCATCGAAGCCATCATACATTCACATTACATATCAACCGAAGATCTCCAAAAACTGCTGCGAATTTCCAAGGTTGTTAAATTATTTCTTCGAATTATCAAAGTTGTATTGGAGAAGCTCCTTGCGTCTCACGCTGTTTCTACGTGTCCAATCACGGATACAGCTTGTTCACCAAGTCACTTGTGAAACAGAATGAACATTGTTGCAACGCTAGCTACTGCAAATTAGAACTGGCTTCAAGACCAGTTTTGGGAACTGCAGAACTTTTCTGCTAAACTCTCTGAAAATATCGAAGCTAAAACAGCAGATAAGGAAGCAGAATGGAAAAGGAATTCATTGACATTACTTTCAAATAATGAAGATCAACGTAAAAGTAAAAAAGAGAGATGTCAAACATGATTCCAGATGCTGAAGTGGCAAACCAATTATACGAAACATTAATCTTCATATTTCCATGTACAAAAGAATGCACAGAACAGAATTTCAAGGAAGTGTATCTGCTGTACTGTTTTACATACAATAAGAAAGTTCGCTTCATATTGTTCTCTCCCTATCTCTTTTGTTATTGCTTTATCTTTTGTATATTGACAGTCGGTGACATGGGGGCCTTCATCAAAATAATGGCCTCAAGCATGAAAAAGGGATCCAAGAAAAGATGTTACAGCCATTCCCCAGTTCGCGATAAACGTTTGTTGTTATCTTCTTCCTTTGATGCCAACTCAGAAAAACTATGTTATCTGCTCTTCTTTTAACCGCAGACGTGCTACAGGTTGTTGATTGTTTCTATTGTTCGATGCATGCTTCTCCAGAGTTTGTGGTTTCAGCTGAGATGCATTGCTATTGACTGTGTTGTGGCTGCTATTTTTAGCTGCTGGTACATCGTGATTATGTTTTCCCTCATAGGTTGTTATGACGGCTCTATGGTCGGCTGCAGCCCTCTCGACATGTTTACGGACCTTGCATCCCGGGGTTGTGCATTTATAGTAGCTTCTGTAGATGGTGCAAAAAGGAAAACAAAAGGAAAAGGTGGATTAAAGACATTCCATGGACATCCAAAGAGCAAGTGACTCACGCATATTTTAGGGGTAGAAAGGCAGACGTTAAAAAATGGACACACATTTCCATTAGCCAAATAAACAATGACAACTTAAAGAGTTCAGCAATTATAAATTTATAATAGCAGCAGGCAGCTACTTGGGCATCAAAATAGGATGCAGCTCATCATTATCCCACCACTAGCATATCCATGCCCTTCTAACAAGTTTTTAACACCGAATCTACAGCAACCATCTTTGTCCAACAAAGCTATTAAGGTTGCAGCTCATGGATATGGATCACTATCCATGAATAAACAGCTTTATAGCAACTTTCACAGTTCAACGACTCCCTAAGGTAGCCCCAAGACAACTAGTTATCCCTTTCTAAGTCTATTAAAGCTGTCCACAACAGTGAAGTGATATTAACAAAGAATAACATATATTCTGCCTTTTGTTAATTTTTACCCCAGCATTTTTAGGAGGTCTATCAAGAACCAAGAGCTTATGCCTGCCCTAAATCTAAGTGCAAGTCTAAAAACAGCAAATAGCCGTAGTGCATAAGTAAACCAATACAATAACCAATAATATGACCAAAGATAAGGATTTTAGGTTGTCATGACCAGCACAAACTACAGTCTTATGGAGTACTGAAAACCACCTTGGATAAGGATTGCCTTTGACAACTTTCTGCCCATACTTGCGCCATCTATAGCCGTCATCTAGGAGATCAACTTCACTAGTTGTCTGCACAATAATTCTAGGCTCTGTTACAGTCCTCTGTGAAGAAGCTGGCTCAGTCACTCTAAACTCTGTACTTCTGCACATGATATGAGAGATTTCATTAGATATACAAGATAGACTTTCAAATCTTATCCTCCAAGTAAGGCCACTCTAAGATTTGCTAGAAAAAAAGTACCTTCTCTTAGGATCAGGCTCATCTTCATCAATTCCGCCACCAGTTTCAGTATCTCCAACTTCCTCACTATCACTCATCGCAGATACATGTTCAGGTGTAGCTTGACTGGATTCCTGATCTTTCCTATCTCTCACTTTGCTGACATTTCCACTTTGAAATTTGGAAGCTAATTCAAAATTCCCCTGACCGTTCGAATTGCCATTTACGCCCCCAGTATCCTTTCCGCGCTTATTGTGTTGTGGTGGCTGATGGTTGTGTTGCCCCTTGTAGATAATTTCAGTTACTTGACCGTCAAGTGATCGCTCAACCTTTTTCTTGACAGGACAATTAGGATGTGTACATTTATAATAACTTCTAGGAAACTCACTTCCTTTCACCTGTTTCTGCCCATATTTCCTCCAATTGTATCCATCAGCAGCAGGCTTATCAACGGCCAGCGAACAAGATTCCGATCTCTGATCAGGCTGAGAGAAGTCAGACAGTTCCTGCATTGTCGCTCTAGAATCCGCTACTGAGCTTACCATCTGCTGTTGCTGGTGTGCTGCTGAGTTATTTGTAAAGGTTGAAGACATTGCCGGTGTCGAATGTTCCGGTTGAACATGCATATTTGAATTGGCTTGTGCAGCCTGCGCTGTGACCTGTGCTAGTGCCTGCTGGTGTGTCATTCCAAAGCCCTACAAACATCTCAAAAATCATAAGAACACAAGCATATATAGCCAAACAAAAATAAAACTACAGGTTTTTTTGGCATATTAATCATAGGGGGAAAGACAAATAAAAAAAATAAAAATAAAACAGCTTTACCTCATTACAACTTTATTTCTTGTACAGTGTCAATAATTGAAACTGCTACTGACATCATTTTGAAGCCAAACATTTAGCTTACAAATAAAAAACACATTTCTCAAAAAAAAATAGCGAAGTTTGAAATGTAAAACTTTTATTTCTTTCGCAGCAATCAAAAAGAAAATAAAAATAAAAATCTCAAGCCAAAATAAACTACCAAAAAAAAAACAAAAAGTTGATAAACAACTGATGCAATCATTACAGAAGCATTTGATTACCTGAGGAGAGAAGACTCCGAAACCCGGTGAATCAGGAAGAGCCACCGGACTGAGTCCCGGCGGCATCGTGAACATCGGCTGGGGAGGGACGATCGACAAGTTCCCCGGCCTGCTAATGTCACCGGCGGAGCTCTTTTCATCAGGAGGTTTGAAATTGGGGGAGGCCATGGCGCCGGCTAGAAGCTGAGAGAAGGATTTACAGTCATCGGAGTCTGAGAAGAAGCTAGAGAGAAGAGTCATAGGGCCTGGACTGAAGCCCAAGGTACCAGGAGGACCACTGGAAAAGAATGTTTCGGTGAAGGAACGTGGAGGGAGTGTTATGGTGGTCGGGCGGGAAGATAATGATTTGGACGGTGATGATGGTTGTTGCTGTTTTGGCAGCTGATGCGCCTTTTCATTTTCACCCATTGGATTTCAGTTTTGTTTTCTGTGTGTCTGCTTTTCCAGTTTATTAGTTTTGGCTTGTGTTGTTTCTCTGGCTTTTGGTGGATCTGGAAACCTGAGCAAAAAAGTCCACGCTGCTGATACGAGAGGAAGAAGAAATCAATAAAGCAAAAAGGACGTCTTTCTGTCTTTCATTTTACGCATAACTACAAATAAGTCCCCAATCTATATAATGAATCATGAATCGGTCTCCAACCTTCAAATTTTTGCAAATCTCTACTTACTAACCTTTCATCTTTAAAACCCTAGTTGAATTCTCGCTGTTAATAACCGTTAATGAGATGTTAAAAACTCATATTATAAAACCCAAATTCCCTTGTTAGCCGTCAAAATAAGATACATATTATTAAAGAATATATTATTTTAAATAGCTCAATCATACTATAAAATCATATAATTTTACACCACTTCAGAAATTTAACCATAAAAATAACAATACACACACACATATATATAAAGTGTATGTATATAAGGAATATTTTAAAATATATTTAGTGAGTAAATTTAATATAACCAGTTTTGTTAAAATAGACTTTAATTAAATTTAAATACTATAAGTTGCATATTAATCTACGTAAGAATCGTTTGTGATATTTGCGTTGCTTGTTTTGTAGTTTGGATGGTGCAGAAAAATCTACCGTATGATACAGTTTAATTTGTCAGCTAGTGAACAACTTTTTAGAACCACAAAATAGTCAATTAAATATGTTTTAAAATCCCATACGTACTCTAAACAATTTAAATCCAACCAATATCAAAATACAGTCTTAAATATTTTCTTAAATATAACATGTCACAAACGGGCCTTATCGGCACTGAAGTAGGATCAATGTGTTTGTAGCTAATAAATATAAAAGATTTGGGCAAAAATCCGCAAAATTTTCAGAGATTGGGAACTGATTTGTGATTCATTATCTGGGTTTGGCACTGACCTGTAGTTAGTCATTAAATAAATATTTTTTGATGTGTCTGGGAAATCACTAATGTGTCCCGGACGACTAGTGAATTGACACGATTGCCAATTGGAGGATGAAGCTTGAGAGTTTGTTGCTTAATTAATTTTAAAAGGGATTATTAAACGAGCCGGATAAATTAGCATGCTGAATGCCATTAGATTTATAGCAGGTGGCAGTAATAATGGCACTGGATACTGCTACTCTATGGATTTTGTGTATTTACCGGCAGAGGAGTCATGTACGTGGCCGGATGTGATTGGGTCAGGGAATCAACGCAATGATTGTGAGCTTATTTTCCACCTTTTTCTTGTTGTCTTTCATCTTTTTGTGAGGGAAATTCGCATTTATTTTTTATTATAGTGGCAGATTGTACCTGAAGCAATGCAATATAATTACTCCACTAAGATTTATCACTTTAATTTTCAGTATTGCGGCTGCTATTAAATTCTATCCCAACTCTAACTCATACGCATGTATTATTCTCTTTTAAATAATAACAATAATAATAATAAGAAGAAGAAGAAGAAGAAGAAGGAGTAAGATTGCCTAAATTATATTATGAAATTACATAATTAACCCTGAATATACTCCTTCTGTCTCTTACAAAAAAATCACCTCTTTTGATTTTTACAAAATTTGAAAAGTTATTAATTATTATGTCATAGTAATATTTTTTATTCATATTTTTTTGTTTAAATTGTTAGTTATCAAATTTAATCATGCATATTAATTTTAAAAAAAATATATCCAAAATTAAAATTATAAATTAAAGAAAAAATCATTAAATTAATTAAAGATCAAGTTTAAAATAATTATAAAAAATAACATACTAATTGAAATATTTTACTCTCAAATTAAATTATTTTTACAAAAATGAATATTTTTCATATAATAAAAAAAATTTCTTTAAAAATTTTATGTTAAAAATATTTAAATATATAAAGAGAAAGTATAAAAAATATCGACAAGAAATAAAAGAAATTGTTTTTCTTTATCCATTATATATATATATATTAGTTAAAATTTTAACTTGATAATCATTTTAGAATACATATAAATAAATAAATAAACAATCTCTTTAAGAAATAATAAGTAACATCTTTTGTCTAAATTTTAAATTATTCATTTTAAAAGAGTTTTCACTGAATTTCAATTTTTCTGAGTAAAATGGTGCTAAAGAAAATATAGCCTTTAATTATACTTATAATTCTATAACATGCCTTGGTTTTCCGTGTAAGGAAGTTGTTGGCTCAAAAAAAAAAAAAAAAGGCCGTGGATACTGTACGATCTTGTGCTCTCCTCCAGAAATTTACTTTTTCTTCGTCGATCTATCCACATGAAGCTAACGGCATCTGCTCAATCCCAAAACAAACTTCTAGTTCGTGTCAAATCAAAGCTTCTTGTCCTGAAATGTCAAGATCAAGAGGTGAACACATGTCACAACTTGTGGTTCCTGCTCCGAAAAAAACAAACCTCTAAACGTTTGTCCAGGCTAGGGGCTAGTTTGTCAGGACCTCTAGCGAATCTTGAGACAACGGTTGTGTTGTGCCAACAAGTACATTGGTTATTTTACAATATTACGTCCAATTTTCAAAAAGGTCCAAACGATACAAGAAAAAGATCATTGCAAATGCGAACCATCACCAAGGCCAGATGTGAACACACAATGGAGTCATGGGTGAGTTGTAGTTCTTTGCTTGTGTAGAAGTACCCAAACAAAGAAGGAAAAAGAAACATGAAGAATATTACAAATTAGCATGAAGCCTAGCTACTTTGGGACAAGTTGCTGGAGGCAGGCTACAGAGTGTCAAACCGGGAAATTATCATGTACAGTACTTGTTTAGAATATGGTCAGTGAGAAAGGAAAAGAATCGTGTCTATATTTATATTTGTAACTGCCACCAAGGCAATATTCATTTTTCTAACCCTAGAACGGCATGGTGGAATCAGACATGGGGTACACATGATTTGCAAAATTGGTGCAAGGACAAAACGGTGCAGGAGGTCCGTCTCTCTCCTTGTACTTTGCTTGATTTACCGTGTGAAACGTGGTTGGTTTCTATAACTGTTCTGCCGACAGCGTGCAAGTTGTCAAACTGACATTATTGTTTTCAGTTGCGAATATTGATGGCCAACGGCAAATGTGTTCGTGCAGAGCACGAAGGGCCACGCTTTGACTGTAGATGGAGACGCGTGGAACCTGCTGCTGGCATGAACGCTCGCCTGATTCATGACGGAATACGCCTGTAACCCCATCCTATCCACGATGCCAGAAATCTTTTTCACATACGATTTTATTTTTGTTTACGTTATATTTATTACCTTTTTTTAATCAGGAAGTGACTTTTTTCTTTATTTGGGCAAGACAGCACCAATTTTTTTTTTCAAAAAAAGTTAGCCTGGTGGACCAATTTAATAAAATCCAAGAGTTGGTAACGATCGAAAGGGGGGACAAAGCACCTTTCTAATAAATTCGTTAATTAATTGGTTTTAAAAGAGAGAGAACTTTCATCTTAGTCTTTAAGTTACACCATTACCCATTTTACTAAATTATCTGATAGTAAATTTTAGTCATAAGAGCAGTTTATTTATTTATTTTAATAAATGCGCTCAATTTTATAGGGTTCAAGTCTTCTCTTAAACAATTTTACCAGGCAACGAGTATGATTGTTTTCTTTTTTTCTAAAATTATTATTCAACTAAAGTATGTTGGATTTTGAGCTATCCCGATCAGGTTTTTTTTTATTTTTTTTAAATTCTATCTTGTTTCATAAGTGAATGAGACACACACACACATATATACACACACGCACGCACAATTTTAAGCCACTTGAAATAATTGAATATACACGAAAACGGTACCGTTTTTGCTTCCAAATATATAAAAGTTGAATGTTGAGGTCTTAACTCTCAAAAAGCTTGAGTGGGTAGGTTTACGAGACACTCTTGTCCTTTTGTTCGATACCACATCAAGACATGACATTTTTCTTGAATCTTTCTCTATAGCATGAAACTCTCCAACGAATTTACGTCACGATTGTTGACACTAACTGGATAAGTGGATCCATGGAATCTCATGTTAGTGGCCCATCTGTCATTTTCTTTTAACTTCTAAGTGATAATTAAAAAATTAAAATCTATCAAATTTTGATTGTGGACGAAATACATTCATAATAGATAAAAATATAAAATTAGATTAAAAAATCTATAGTTTAATTATATAAATATTAAATAAGTCTTGTATGATCCATCAATACCAAAAAAAAAAAAAAAAAATCAAAATCAAAATTATTGACAAAGACTAGAAGTCAGTTTTTTTTAACGAAACCAATTTTTTACCAACAATTATTTGACTACTTACTATAAATTTTTGTTATGATTATATACTTAAACATATTTAATTGATCTTACTATATTGATTAATATGTAATTTGTTTTCAATAATAATTGTATTGGAATTATCAATTAATTTTTCTTGAGCCTTATTAGGTTCTTACAAAGCCGTGTAAAAGATATAAACTATTGGGTACCAAACTGCCGATGTTAAGAATATGCTTGAGCAACTAGGACGCTACTCATTCTGTCAAAACTTTTAAATTATTGGGTAAATTCTTGTGAATTACGTAATTCTGCGCCTGACATGATCATTGACTTATATACAATCACCCCGTACAGCAATGTTATCAGATGTGAAATAATTAACATATCCTAAGGTCACCAAATTAAATGCCAAGTTTTAGGGCTGGTGGTACAACATTGCCACCCTTTTGACAGAACAATAAGTTGATAGAATTGCTTGTGACAACATGAGAACTCAAATGTTTAATGTTATCCTACAGTTTTCAAAAGTGGGCTTGCAAATGAATATTTGCTATATACTCGATTGATGTTTGTTAATTAGGAATAGAGTAGTAAGAATGAAAATGAAATTTTTATTCTCACATTATAGATGTTTGGTTAAAAAGAATAAAGTGAAAATTAGAATGAAGAGTAGGAATTGGAATAAAATTTACACACAACTTCATTCACATATAAAATGTCAAAATGAAAATAAAGAATGAAAATGAATTTTCTTTTTTCAAAATAATAATATATTTTATTTATTTATTGTCTATTAACTATTTTTACCATCGTCACCATAACTACAACTACGACCACTCGCAACCACTACAAGCACCATTGCAATCACCACCACTATCAATTTATTATTTTTATAACTATTATAGTTTGATAAAATTATTTTTTAATCGTTATTTTTATTTATATAAAAAAATCAGATATTAAAAAATTTAAATTGTATAGTATTTTAAGCACGGTATGGAAATACAAATGTCATTTCAATTCTTTAATTTTTATTTCGATTCCTGTATTTTTATTTTGGATTTTTCATTACTGATATCCTTGACAATTAATTTTGTTAGAAGACTATGCATCAATACAAAATTGTACTAAAGAAACAATTTAGCCATTCTGAAAAAACAATCTCGATAAAAAAAAAATTACAAAAGCAAAGCAACCTATATATATATATAATTCTTACCAATTCTTACCAACATTCCTTGTGGAAATCGTATTGTGGTGATTTGCACAAGTGCATAAGCTGCAAGTTCTATTTCTCCAGTGTGTCCGGTAAATGCCTGTGTAACCACAAGCACTCCAAATTGTGTAATTTTGTCAACATAGCAGGAAAAGCAGTCCTCCATAGCTTCTTAGATTCCACCCACGCCCTCTCTTTCAAATTTTCACATTTATCTTTGTCTTCAAAGCCTGGATGCCTCTCTGTCTCCATTCTACCACTTTTAATACTGCAAAAAAAATTATGATCATTTTGATTTGGCAGTTTTGTTAACCGTCATGAAGAATATTGCACTTAGATACATGAAGAATAATATTGTGAAAGGAAATGCGATATATTTTAACTAATAAATCAAGTCTAGATTTATTTGATCTGCTTGTGCATTGTATCAAATTGGATATATAGATTCCAAATAGCGATTCTGTACTCTTACAAAATTTTAAGCAAGTACAAAGTTTAGGGTGGATTATATAATTAACATTGTTATTTTTGGACCTTCTGTGTGTATTGGTATATATAGTTGGTCAATTGTTAGTCTCAAGTTTATTTAATTATCAAACACAATTAAGTAATTTATGCATGCATAAATTATTTGCTTATTTGGCATATTCAGATTTCTTGTCGAGCTTATATAAATATTCTGGATGTTTATTAAATATTTATGTATAGAACATTGTTAAGAAAAATCATGATACGGTTTACATGATTATTTCGATATATCAACATACAATTTTAAGTTGATAACAAAGCATAGTATATTAAATTTGTGATGTCAATTGACTTAGCAATAAATATTCTATTCTGGATATTTATTAAATATTTATATATAGAATATTTTTAAGAAAAATCATGATACGGTTTATATGATTATTTTAATATATCAACATAAAATTTTTAAGTTGATTATAAAGCATGCTATGTTAAATTTTTTATGTCAATTAACTTAGTAACAGCCACAACACCTTAAGTTATTTTAATAATTATATTAAAATTTACTAAATTAATATGCTCATAAAGTACATAACTTAATTTGCAACTATTTTATAAAAGTAATGACTTGACCTTACAGGGAGATTGTTATTTTTATGATTTAATTAAAATAAAATAATAAATGGATAACAAGGATGGATTTTATTTTAGGCCTACGGGTGTGAATAAAACTTATTCTTGGTATTTTATTTATTAGTCTTATTATTAATAAATTAGTGGATTTTATGCACAATGCAACCTCTACCCACATAAAAGTTGAAATTTACTACTAAATTGACATTTATTAATTTAGATAAATTATGTTTTTCATAACATTGAAGTATTTTCTTGGTTATTGTAGTTTTGCTATTTTTTTTTATTGATTCATTTGCTATTATAATGTTATGTGGCGATAATTTTGTTGATTGAAATAAAAATATTTACTTTGCATTAAGGTGTGTGGATGAACCATCTACCCTTACAAATTCAAGTAATGTTTAGGAAAAGGTTGATTACAAGTGGTTGGAGTAATCTAATCGTTTAAATCTAATGCTCATAAAATCTCACATAAATAAGATAATTATAGATTTTATCCCTAAATGCTCTAAGGTGAATGATTTTCTTGAAGCCATAGATGAACAATTTGTTTATTTTGATAAAAACATTATCCAACACCTTAATGAAGAGGTCTCGGATAAGTCATTTGACTATTCTAAAAATTGCACGAGCACATTATGAAAAATAAAGGAACTACTGCTCAATTAAAGTATTTAGATGTGCAGATTTTTAAGTTATTTTTTGTTCATTTTATTTTGAACTCTCTCTTTACGGAATATGGTCTATTTATAATTTCTTACGACACACGTAAGGAAAATGGTCAATTAATAAATTATTGTCCTCATGTGTTCAAGAAGAAAGGAAATTGAAACTTGAGAAACCTAAAAAGTGATTTTTTGCTTTTTCAGTTAAGAAAAATGCCAAGAAGAGTAAAATTATCTTCAAAGTGAAGAAATGGAAAAATGTACCAATGTAACAAAATGACAATAACGAGTAAATGCTTCTTTTGTGGGAAATGGAGACATGTTAAGAAAGATTGTCAAAAGTATTAAAAATGACTCATAAAGAAAGATAAACTCA